ATCCTGTACATTATCTTTGGAATGCGGTGAGGGTAGCAGATTGATGTGTATTGCAGTCGCCCCCATTCACGTCCAGCTCGTCGAGCCTTTCGCCCGCCACGCATCTTTCGTATCTTTCATCAATCCTGTCGTCGATCTGGCCTTCCGAACCAACTAAGGAAACGCAGAAGACAAAAGCAACGTTAGTGCTCGGTCACTGTTTCTTTAATAAAGCTGAGGTATCGGTTACTGAGGTGCAGTGCACTCCTCTCCGCTGTGCTTCCATTTAGAGATGGCGTCTACAGGTCACTTCCCGTCCTTCTACTGGTCACTAGCAAAACAAGCGCTCTGTTTAGTGGATTTTTACTTCTCATCTTCGACGCGGTGCTCTACGGGCCACTTTAAATGATGGGGCTTCCAGTTAGCGTCTTTCCCTTTGCTACCGTTGATAGTCACGTTTCACATCCGTTTTAAGGCTTTGCTGGCGTGCATTGCACAGTGGCATTGTCGAGGCTTCCACTCCGCCAGTGAAACAACCAAGTATTAGTTTTGATTTGGCACTGTTAGACCCGCTAGCAGATTGCTTCTGAGCTGTTCCTTGAGAAGGGGAGCCTGGTTGCTTATGGCGCTGCTAGCAGTCGAGCCACTTCGAAGCACTCCCATCTCGTAGGGGGTATAAATATTTGACGGGAGTCCTGAACTTGATCTTTTAGGCCATACGGGTTTTTTAGGACATTTTTACGATGTAAGCTCATAAAAATGCGAAGTTTGGGCACATGAGATGGCATTTTTGCGCTGCTGTGCAACTCGTTTTTTGTGTTTCAGCATCAAGCGTATCAAATCAGTGGGGCCGCCGAAATCAGCGCTTCTAGAACGAACGAGGTCACTGGTTTCAAACCTGCTCGCCACTGAAACAGACGGTGCGCTGATGTTACGAACTCGAGAGCTCTGTAAACACTGCATGGAATATCCCGAAGCGTGCAGCATCGAGTTTCAGGTTCTCATTTCATTGTTCGATTGCTTGTGAGAAAGCCACATTCAATAAAACTGCATTTCACTACTGCTTGTAATCTACGAAAGAATAACAGTAGGCAGGAGCCATCAGCGGGCTGTTTATGAAATACAGTGTTATGTTCTAGGATGCCGTTTTCAAGAAGCTGAAGCTTTCTTTACGGAGGAGCAGTGACCACATATTTAAGGAGCATATCCAGCAGTTTCTAATGCTCATGGGCGATGTTGGTGCACCGCGTGGTGCTGGCGTCCGGATTTTGTCCATCGATGGCGGCGGTACGAAAGGCATGCTGGGTCTGGACATGCTGCAAGCACTGGAAAATGCTTTACACGGACCAAAAGTTAGTCGTCTCCGAGTTTTCGCGGATGACGCTGGTGTTTTTACTGTAATCGCTTGTTTAAAAAATTGCCTGTGCTTTTTTTGAATCGCCGAGAATTTTCCTGGGCAGCTACTGTTAAAAATCAGTTTTTAAGCACTGATCGCACTGAGTAATATTATTCCCGCTACAGTGGCTGAGCCTCCATGTGGATCTTGAAAGCTGCTTCTGATGAGGAAGTTTGTGTTGCGAAGAGAGAAATTTAGGTTGTTGAAGTGTTCGACCTGATTACGGGCGTCAGTACGGGAGCTATTATCGGTACTTTGCTAGCCGCAAAGCGACTGTCCGTCGAGAAGTGCAAGGAAGTTTACATTGCGATCTCGCGTGAGCTGTTCAGTCAGGGTAAATTTTCCGGGATGAGCGGCCTCTTGCTTTCTCATGCATATTATAATACCGAGAAATGGAAAGGACTGCTTAAAAATGTAAGTAAATTTTGCAGAGTAATCCATTATATTGGGTTTTATAAGAAGCACTACGACGACCTGTGCCCAGAATGCTCCTCTTATTGCACTGTGTATGAAAGCTAAGAGCATTCATAAGTAGCCCAATTGATTGCACACTACCAGCAGTTACATTGTGGTAAGGGAGCTGTTGGATAGTTTTCTTCGAAGCAACCCGATGGCGATTAGTTCCCTAAAGTGCCAGAGTCGATTTGCTGTCGGAACAAATCACAGAGGTAGCTAGTTTTCTCGACTGCGTTGTCGAAGCCTGACGCTAACGCTACTTGCCACTACCCTTGGCCGCCAACTGTCGAAGAATAGCACCCGCTTAATTGGCCTTCGAAAAAAAGTGCATGAACCTGAAGATTCTAGCTAAAGGCAAGTAATTTTAGAAAAAAAAGTACTTGCCCTGATCCTTAGTAATCTCATGCTGCCATGCATTGTAGACGGAAAGAAAGCTGTTTAGGTTATTGGTGAAGAAACGTTGTTGGAAATTTGTGGACGCTGGCCTTCTCCCAAACTGAGTATTGTGTCCTGCACTGTAAATACACCGACGCTGCAACCGTATATTTTTCGTACGTACGGACATCCGATCAAAAGTTGCAGCCATTATCGTGGTGGATGCAATCATAAAGTGTGGGAGGCTTTACAAGCATCAGCTGCCGCGCCAGGATATTTCCAAGAGGTTACTGCGCATGCTTTTTGCACGCTCCCGTCGATTCGGACGGAGTGTATTTCTTACCGGTCAGATTCCGTTTCGAGAAGCGCTATTTTTATATGACTTTACACCTTTGAGCTAAATTTTGTCCGTTTCATCAAAATGGGGCATCGTATGACTATGCTTTGCATCCTTTCTGGCTAACTTTTGCCTTCGCGTGATTCTCGCATCGCATGCACACAACTTTGAAGGCCAAATTGGCCTGGTTGGAAAGGTCGGGGAGTAGCATGGGAAGTAGAGGAGGAACTGACTTAACAGAGGACGCCAAATTATACAGAACTGGTGAGGAATTTGAGAGGAGCTTGCGATGGGTAGCCCACTCGTGCCAGATGGGTACAAACATTCTGAATCGAAACATCGGCTTCGGATGTTGACTGAACTTCCTTTCCAGCTCATCTGATATTTGTTCAGTGCCAAGAAGAAAACAGTCTTGTAGGTACCGTTGGGAGCACTGCTGCATCAGGACGGTGGAGTGCTCACCAACAATCCAACAGCTCTGGCAGTCCACGAAGCACGCATGCTCTGGCCAAACGAGCGAATTCAGTGCGTGGTCTCGATTGGCAATGGGCGCGCCATATCCAAGGTGGAGCCAGCTGTCGAGAAGTTCGTCCAAGCAGTTATTTTCAGCCTTGCTTTGATTTTTAGCTTGCTGCGATGCGAGCATACGAAGCAGGACCATATCCGCCGGGACTAATCGCACAGCTGGTGAGATTACGCGTGTTACCGGAATACGGAGCGTAACGGGAGTTGTAGCGTCCCAAATGTTTCTCTTGTGTTTATGCCTGCCACTTGAGCACATACGCTCAGCATGTCATCCAGAATGGTTCGAATGGTCGAGTACCACCACCTATTACCTCTGTAAAATATCAACGTACCCACAACTCTTCTCCTTCTCCATCGCGCATAATTTCCAGAGTCACGACGACCCATTCATGTAGCAGATATCTTGGATCCGCAGTTTCATAATGAGAATCCTTTGCTCCATCGCTATTTCCTGTTGCGGCCAGCCCCATATCTTGTTACATATTTTATCATCCTTAATCAGCAGCAGTTCGTTTGTCCGAAAAATGATTCACTAATTGCGGTTACTTTAACATGCATGCACACACGCATAACGTGTCTGACATCACAGAACTAAGCTGAAGCTCCTAAAATGAGTTGCCTGTACATGTAGTTATCTGCGATTATATGGTACTACTCATTCAATTGTCTATATGGTATTCATTTGAGGTTATCTACACGTCTGCAAGAAAAAATCTTACGGATTATTGATTCAGCAACGGACACCGAACTTGTTGATTTATGTATGCGTGATGTTCTACCTAAGGGATCATACATGCGTTTCAACCCATACACCAGCTACACGTACGCACTGGATGAAATCGACCCGAAAAAGTATACATTTAAATTTCGTACTAAAAAGTCCGCAGATTTGAAAGAGTCACCACCCGAGCAGTTAATGTGGCATCCACAAGCCGGTGTAGCTGTGCCGGACCGTCCTTTTCTGAGCTGCACGTCTTCATTTAGAACCTGCTGTCGTCTGCTCACTGTATGGCGTGCCACCGCTGCGAAGCCCGCATAAGTGGTCATTTGTTTCGGCAAGCGGGGAGGGAGAAGACCTTCCAAGTACCTGGATGTAGAACGTGCTCGTTCTTTTCCTCCCAAACGGTGTTTTTTATTAATATTTGCAGGCTGCGACAAATGGGTCAGGATGCACAGTTATATGTATCAAAAAATCAAGCAAAGTTCGAGGCAGCTGCAAAAGCGCTTCTCGCTGGACCTACGCTGAAGCAGCGCCTTTCCCGAAATTTTAGTGATCTGATAATTTTATATGGTAACTCTTTTGATTAGACTTTGAAAACGAGTTCAATTCAGCTGGCTGAAGTTGGACAGTAGGTGTGTATTGTTTTCGATTCTTGGTCGAGATTACATTCTATATGATACTTTCAGAAAATTTCATTCAATCAAATCCATTAAAATGAGCATGTGGAAATGTATTAAAAATTCGCCCACCTCAAACACATGTTAATTTTCTGTTCATATGCAACACCCATTAATTCTATCCAACAGAGGCACACTAACAAACAGAACACATAGGTCACATCCACAACGTCTTCTCGCTTTCTTGAACATCCGCATCTTCCTATTCATCGCTGAGAGCTCGCACAAGAAGAATACCACCGAAGAACACTACCAAACCTTTGCACATACTCCTAGAAGAGAGAGAGAGCAGGATAACAAACATAACTTTCTGAACGAAACAGAAACGGGTCAACCACACATTGTGCTTGAAATGCCTCCTCCCCAGTTCACTAAATTTGTACTCATCGAGTTACACGGGAGGTTGAGGAGCGGATGGACGGTACAGCAAATGCCGAGTTGGTACATTGAGGTTCACGCGTGCATGTTGGGCACCTCAGTCAGTTAGCATGGTACACCTCTAGTACAGTCACGCATCCCATCCCTTTCGATCAGTCTACCCCCCAAACGTTTTCACTTGGGCACAAAACTAATAATAAGCAACTACCAGTAGAAAATGTTGTTGTAGATTCGTGAGAAATATCCATCCTCCGGACGTGGTGGCGGCGGCGTCGGTTCCCGAATGCGAATCATTGCAGGCAGCTAGGAGCGTTCTGAAATAAAAGCAAGCAGATTAGCTGCCAAAGGCACACGGCTACCCTTCACTCGTCCAGTAATCCTGCAACCTCTTCCAGATCGAGCGGTCCAAGAGTCTCGTATTCCAAGTCTGCTTTGCCCTGCTGCTACTGCTTCAAGTCTGCATGCAGTAACAGATCCAGGAGCAGCAAGGAGTTCAGTGTAATCGAAACGGGATAGCCAAACTTTTCTCTTTGTTTTGGAAGCGACGTGGACCAACAGACAGACAAATACTGCCTACGTAAAATGGCAATACAAAAAAAACCCCATAACGAATGCGATATAACGATGTGGCCGTTCGAGATTTCGGTTTTTACTAACTGGACCTATACAACCGGGGACCGGAACAGCCTCGCAGAGCTTGTAAGGGACATTACTAACATGCAAACCCCACGTCGAGTTAACTGTCCGAGTGGTTTAACTCGCTCAGATAGTGGCGATATCTGGCTGCCCATTGCTGAATAAGTGCAGCGTGATGCCTCAGCAGAGGCATTGGAGAATAGATAGTAGTAGTGAGCAGAATATCACGACACCACTCCAGGCTACAGCAACTTGCGTCGATGTATTTTATCAGTTCAGTTCATACATTAAAACGAAGACGGCAACAACAAAAACTGCAAAAACACAACTTATATAAAATGGTGCGAAATCTTTATAACACGCCCTAATCGGCACAGATGAACGAACGGAGAAATAAGAGAATTAAAAAAATACTGCATTCACTACAGGAATGATCGCAAAGTGCTCCCGGAAAGTGATTTGGAAAAGAAAGTGACAGAGGAAAAAATCATGAAGAAACTAAAAAAAAAGACGTGAAAATAATGGATTAATACTGAATGCACATTATTTGGTCCAGAAAGACGAGCAATCTAGAAGTAAAAAAAACACAAACAGGCTTCAAACAACTACAGTTTTTGTCTCGTTCTTCCGATCCTCTCCCTCCCTCTCCGTCAAAACCGTTTCTCGTTTTTCTTTTCATCAAAAAGTTCCACGTCACTGATTACTAAAAGGGGTATAAATAAGCACCAGGTTTATGAGTAATGCTTGAGGGCGAACCATAAATACTGCCTTCAGCCAGGAATGCAACGGTCAGAAAGACTGAAAACAGGCGTAGAAAGAGAATAATTTTTACAGTGTTTACAGCAAAATAGTGATAGAACAACTACAAGATCGCGACAGTAATTACAGCTCACTAGGCAAATGTTACAAAGCGCATAGCAAGTGTAGGAGCAAAAAGAAGTGCGCTGCAGAGGAGATAGGACGTCTGGTGCTGACGTATCCAGTATATTTCAACAACAGATAAAGGTGTGCTTCATTCGGTCACCAAAATTTGCACCCAAGAATGCTAGCCTCCACCTCTTCCTCTTTTCCCATCTCCGTATCTCCCTTTTCCGACTTCTCCCTACCTCGCCTCCTCACACTGTTCCTGTCCTGCATTTTCGAACATGATCACGTCAAGGCTCAAGCTCGCATCCCCAAGTCTATTTATCCGATTTCTGAAAATTTAACACGTCCAACTGATTTTTTCAACCTCCTAACTTCAGTTCTCTGAAGGAGAACTTCATACTCCTTTGACTACCTCCAGTGGTAAATTCTGCGTCAAATTCCAACTTTCCCGCTCGCTAAAGTTTCAGCGCGTCATTGGACCTTTGATCTTTTAATTTTGTTTTAACACTTCCTTTAATAACAAAACTCTAAATTTTGGCGTTTTTTAAGCAGCACCACAATTCAAAGACTCAGTTGAAAGTCACAACTTTGCCATGAGGCGCATCTAAGAGGAAAGAGAGCGATGAAGAACAGCCACAGATTATTCCTAAGTCACCGTCAACTCGCGGATTATTACACGCTAGGGCAGCTCTCAAAAAAATCAGATCAGAACAGAACACAAATAATTCACCCATTATCATTCATCAAAGAAGTAAGCTCTGACGTCGATTTGAGCGGCTGTTCTTACTGGCCCCACGACTGGACAGGACCGGATCCTTGACCAATTTCACGCCTGGTACTGACATCACCGATTCGCAATCCGAAAGCGTAAAGATTGCTTTGGGTAAGCTCTGTAGAAATGGATGTTGCAAAGCATCTATCGCAGCCAGTCGCTTTCGACCCTCATACTGAAACGTGAAATTTCAGCAATTTAAGCAGCAAAAAATATCGCCACGTTACTAAACTATCATTGTAAAGCCCGATGCCAATCAGATGCAGCGGCTACACACCAAAGGCAGCTTTGGCAAGATCTTTTACGCTCCGATATTAGCGGTCATTTCCTGCATTTGCTATTTGCGCATGCCACCTCCGCAAAATCCGCTTGAAATCTTTTTTTAACATGTAAGTTACACTTAGTAATAAACAAGCCTTCGTCCTCGCCCCCCTCCCCCCTACCCTTCCCGCCGCCTGTTCGAATAGGTATGGTTCTTCACTAACAAAAGTTACATCATTTTCGGACTGGATCACAAATCTTTCTTCACAAACCGCAGAATAAGAAATGGATGGCAACCTGGAGTAGGCGATGTAAGAGGTCCGCGGCGTGATTGTCTATCCTTGGGCATGCATTTTGCAAATTACTCGGCCGATACTGAGGGAACTTGCACATGCGAAATGTTGCTGAGTTACATATTGAAGGATGGGTAGTTGACGATGGTGTACCAAGCATATGAAAAATTAAAAGAAGTTGCTCCTCAACTGCCGATCCAGGAAACAACGCATGCCCTATAACATACAAGAAGCTATACAATTCAGTAGCAACCACTAAAAAAAAACCTTACATCTCAGGTAAACTATGTAAAAAAATATTTGGAAATTTTTTTTTTCATGGAACAATTGCAATAGCAAAACAAACCAGCAATCATCTCAAAAAGGATGCATCCAACGCCCCACATGTCAATATGCGTCGAATAATCGGTGGAGCCGAGCAGAACGTCCGGAGGGCGATACCACAATGTTACTACCTCAAATTAATAACATTTTTTCATATCGCATTTTTTTTTTCTACGAAATAACATTTTCATATCGCACAAAAAAATGTCACACAACTTCTGTAAGTAAAATACAGTTGCATATCTTGCTTCTTTTCTCTTTTAAGCACCTGAATCAGTATTCCTGGACCTTTACATCTTCGCCCGAAAGAAACCTTTCCTGCTTTCCACATCTCCTCTCCTATCGCCTCCTCGTCTCTTTACCCTTTTCTTCCTTTCCCTACCTACCTCTCTTCTCTTACAACTCAAATCCCTCCGAAACGACTACATCATTTTATGGGGCGGTTCTTACCTCTTTATAAGCCAGACATTCCTTTTATCGAGGTCTTGGATCACACCTTCGTACGAACGGTCTTGACTTCAACACCGGTGTGTCTCAGCGCTATTCGACTCCACTGCGTCTTTGGAATATTATCCTCGTCCGCCAACGGATCCTCCTCCATCGCTCGAAGGCTAACCGTAATACTACACACCTGGCGGATTGCCGGTTATCGCTTGTTCATTACCAGACGTCTCGCACTCAACAAGCCATCAAGTCCTTCAGACCACACGTGCCGCACTCTGTATTATCTGTCTGCTGCTTGTGTGCCTCATCACAAGTAAACCACAAATATATTTTGGTTACCCAGTTTGCACACAGAGCCAAGACGCCACGCTACACTTCAGTTCACCAAGTATAATTGCCACAAATGGTAAAACTTTTAATCTTGTGACAGTGAAACGGACAGCTGCGCAGGAAAACGCCGATCAGTGAAAATACCTCGTTTGAATAGGTTTTCGTAGGCACCGATTTTGCTCGCGCTAAACCAAAATCAGCAAGTTTGAGTTCGCCCTTTTCGTTGATGAGTAAATTCTGCGGCTTTAGATCACGATGCAGAACACGCCGCTGGTGGCAGTAATTCAGCCCTCTAAGCAGCTGCACCAAAAACAGCTGCAAATTTAGGATAACTGCAAAATCACACACTGTCACGCAGTGCAAAATAACAGGTGATATAAGTTTTTCAAGCATCCCCAGCGAATGTTATACATCAAGCAAATTACATCGTTTCTGCTGCAGCAGGCTGAAGGAGTGTAGGGTTCACGTGCGCCAAGCCACCATGAGCGGCGTATTTCGGAAAGAAATAAAGCAGATCAGGTGCGCGTTTCGGTACCCAGTTCTAGATAATTAGCACACAGCCCATGCAGAAACCATCTTAGGAGCTGTTGGAGAGCCTATGAAAGAAAAAGAATTTTGCAAAAATCATTCTGTGGAACACACTCGAACATTTCGCATGCACATGGCATCCTGGCATGCATCCAGATATTGCTTCAGATCCCGATCCACATATTCAAACACAAGAGTGAGAATTCTCTCGGTATGAATGATATCATGCAGCGTAACAATATTCGCATGGCGCAGGTCCCTTAGGATGGAAACTTCTCGGATTGCTGTGCACGGTGCTCCTTCCTCCAGTTCCAAGCGTATCTCCTGCATTTTTCCAGAATTTATTTACGAAATTTTTTTCTAAGCAACCGCATAAAAGAGAGGTCTCCTACTGCATTCAAGCATTTTTGACAGCAAACAGAAAATATCTGTCCTCCTATAGACGGATGGACTGAGAATTTCGCGGATACTGATTCTGAAACTCCCGAGATTTCACGTTCCAACTGATGTCAGGAGAAAATAATTAACTGTAGCCGATATACAGCTGCACGTAACAGTTACATTTGTGTCTCTACTGAGGAGCATTACCCGATGCTAGGGAAACTGGAAAATAAAAAGCCATCGAAGCAAGGTAGGAGGCAAAAGGTATAGAACAAATGAGAAGCGAATACTGAAAAAATTGCGAGAACCGTGCTCAGTCATTCAGAATGTAAATCTTATTTCTTCAGATGAGAAAAATCGTATTTAGATAACTATTCAAACCTGACGAGAAAACGTCCTCAATCTCCCAAAACTAGGAGAATTTGCAGATTTTAGAAATCTCATCCTCCTAAACTGCCGCGCTTCCCAGAAAATTAAGCTTAAAATGACTGCTCCTACCGCAAGACAGAAACTTGATCCAGGCCAAAGCCATAACTGGCGATCACCTTAAGTGCAACATATTTCTCGGTCAGTCGTGATCTTCCTTTATAAACCGTCGCGTAAGTTCCTTCACCCAGCTTTTCCAATTTTTCGTATGTTTCCAACTTCCCAAAACCAATTTCACTCTAAAATAAAATAGCGATGTAACAGTGATAAAGACGAACAGAACGACTGCATGACAATTTTCCAAGAAAAAAACCTGAAAATCCATGCGCCGAAGGGGAGTGATGCAGGATTTCAGTAAGCTCACCAAAGAACTTAAAAGGCAACAGGAGCTCAGCATTTTACAACATACAAGTGAACTCTTAGACGTAAGATAACTCAGTGTGATCGAAGGGTGCGTAAAGTTTGGAGCGAGGTGACAGTACCCAAGAACACCTCGAAATCCAGCAAAATGCTTCTGTCGAAAATACTGCTGAGCAGGTCATCCTTTCAGAGGGCACGACACGATCAAAACGCTGGTCCAGGCGAAGCAGCAACTGGGAAAGTTGCCAGTTGCACCAATGGAAAACCGGACTACGAACAGAAAAATGCTGCAGTGACTGATGCAGGGGAGAATTCAAGTAAGCATAAGTTTACACTCACAAGAGACGCACGACGATTCTTCCGTGTTAGTGGCTGGTCCAATGTTGGCGTGCGATTGAGCTTTTCAATCACACTCAGCGGTAGTCTCAAATCGGCCGGAAGGGAGAGGCGCTTTTGTATATCTTGCTGAAAAAAAACTGGAACCTGAGCACAATCCAGCAACTGCATGCTTATTAAAATATAATTCGAAAAACAAAAATAAAAGCACCAAACAGATGCGAATAAATTTTCACTTTCCGTTCCCAGAAACCTCATCCCATCGATCCATTCGTTCCCTTCGGCGTCAGTCCTCTCAGTAAAATTAAAAGCTGAGATCAGTTACGAGGGACAGTTCTGTTCTGAGCCATCTGTTTCGAATTTAAAGTTCTTGTTTTTCTCTAACATACGTTTTACATTTTCCGTTTCCAATCACAAATACATGGTAATGCAACAAAAGAAAGTCAAACAAAAAACACTATGCTTATCAAGGCATTCAAGATGAGGTAAGAAAGTACAGGAGGCGATTCGTCATGAATACGCTGCACGGTCGCATTGATTTAGGTTCAAAAGAATTTTTGAATCCCGGTCTGAATTCTACTGACACTAGAACAAACGGCTTAAAACTTCACCTACGATCAGTGAAAATAGAACTCGCGCGAAATTTTTCTAGCGCGCAGATTGCAAGTATAGAACGAAATTGCCTACAGAACTTGTCACTGCTCATTTTGCGAAGAGCTTCGTCAGTGCTATTAGTAGTTAATGCTAATTAACAGCTTGTGCTTTTTAAGCTATAAGCAAGAGAGGTATATATGTTCTGTTTCAGAAATAAATATATCGTATTGATATTATCAATATATTTATGAGGAAATCCAGCAACCTCACTCCACCGACGTGTTGGTTTTTGTCGCATTTTAACATTGACCACATAGCGTTCCGACGATGGATTGGTGCACTGGTCGCTGCTACACGGTGAAACCTCAATGCTCTCACCGTCGGAACCGAGTGCTCTCGTCTCATCAACAACAGCTGAAAAAAAAAAAAAACATCAGTACTTATATTTGGAGCCAGCCTTCGTGAATACTTGTTGTACGACATTTTCTTTTGCAAAACTGACATCCAGAAATCGCCATTATCCGGTAGTAACAACTTTCCATTTTAACAGAACTGGCCCATCTAGAGTAAAGCACACCACCGAGGGGTCTGAGTAAAACAGAAGCCACTGCTTGTTCCTGCTACTGTACACCACTTATAATGAAAGACTTACAAAGTGAGACAGACGGCCTTATCACTGTTTGTCGTCCAGCGGCCGAACGCCGCTTACGTAAACTGAACAACTGAATCCAGGAAGAGAACGAATTTGAATTTGCAGATATCCGAGATGGGAGCGGCGAGGGCACTTCTGACTGGCCACAGAAATTATGAAATGTTGCTGACTTTGACAATTCCGAAACCATTCGAAAAATGAACTGAAGGGGCAAAGGTGGAATGCAAGGCCACAAAGTTAAGCAGCAGCAACAGCAAATGGATTTAGGCCGAGATTATGATGAGGCCTAGGCGACATACATACATACATACATACATATACACATACATACATTACACATACAGCTGCAATTGCTGCAGGAAGGAATGTGACAAAGCCTGGATGCTAAGCAAGCGTGCTTTAGATCGTCCCTCTCTTCCCCCATCCCACTTTACGATAACCCCTCTGACATCTAGGCTCCTACGAAAACGACAACGGCCGTTGGCTGGCCAACAACACACATTACAACGCTTATTAGGAGTTTCCTTCGAAGCCGATCAATTCGCTCACGCTTGCTCCATCAAAGGCCGCCCTCTTCCTAGGGCCCAGCTGGCTAGTTAGCCACACACACTTTCAGCTTATATCGGGCCGTGCGCTGTGGCCGCATAACTTCCTCCCATCCTGGCAACACTATCCATACAGTTCCATGCACTGTCACTGCCAGACGACCACTGCAGCCAATCTAAGTTGTAGTAAGTCATCGTAGGGCAACGGATCAGCCATTCCAACTACAGTTTCGTAATATTCCATCAGATTGTGTGCTTCATGCATATATGGGCACAGTTCTGATACAACGAGCACTATTTTCGTTTCTTTTTTTTTCTCCTGACATTTTTGTCTTTGGTAACTGGCACTTGTTCATTCACGATCTTGGAACGACCAAGCAGAAATTCCTTGAATTTGTGCCCAAAAAGCATAAATTTTATGAGAATGCTTGCATATCTCGTGCGCACACGGCAAATCCAAGGACACAAAATCGCCGGCAACTCTCTTCACAGTAGAAGAACATGCTGGAAATAGAGACTTCACCCATCTTGAGGCAAAATAAAACTACCGTCCTAGTCGATGCCTCCTTCCCCCTCCATTCCCTTTCCCTTCACACGCTCTCCCTCTTTCTCTGGCCCCATATGTAGGGAAATGCAAAAACACTGCCAAGAAGAGTGCATCTGTTAACTGTAAAGCAACGACCACTCTTATTGTTAACAATTTGAATGCTGTAATATATGTTAAAAAAAAAAAAAGCATGATCGGAATAACAATCCTGGTAAGCGTCACTGCCGATTTTTTTAAGCGTTGCACTAGTTCTTTCAAATTGTTCAGATTTCTGAAATATAGCCGCGCTACAGCCGTGTGCCAGTACACACACTGAACAGCGAAGAGGATGTTGCAGGTTCTGGATCTGCCTTCTTAATGCTCCCCTAGCAGCGTTGCCGCTCGATTTAAGACAACTCATCCAACAGAACGACTGGAAAGCATTCCGCCTACCCCAGTTTCAGCAACTTCTCATCTTCGACGATAATCTCACCGTACGCTGAATCCTCCATTTATCATTTCTGGAACTGGCATATTTTTGCAAACCATCAACGGCATATGCTACGCTTCACGTCAAACTTGCAGCACCTCAACCTGAGCTCTAACCGCTTGCACATTACACAAAACGGCAATTCTTTCGTCGTTCATAAGTAAGTTTTTCAGTACTTTGGCTACTTCAGCAAACCAAAAACACATAGACCGGACAAGCCACAGACGAACGGACAAGAGCGCCATACTATAGGCGTGATGCATTACGAACAAGCACAACTTATATTACTTTTTGAAAGTATGTAAAAACTGCATAAATCAATTGGAGATTCCCTGAAGAATTATCATAATGCAGAAAAAAAGGTCAAAAACAAAACCACGTGCCGGCAACAACCGCCTGTAGACAAGACAGTCGCCTTTCAAGGCTGCTAGAAAGTATGGTTTTAATTCCTAGCATATGCCAGTGCCAGTTCACCGCCAAGAATAAACGACCCGCCAGTAGTGGGACAGATCCCAGACACACTTCTATCACGGCATCGTGGTCTACCAGCAAATGAAAAGAAAGTGTACAATGAGCGGAAGAAAAAAAAGGTGAAAAATTCTGCAGGAAAAAAAAAGTATTTTTCCTCACTGCTTCTTCAGCAATCTATTTAGCTCTCGGCGCTGAGCACGATATGCAGGGTAATACGATGGTAACTCAGACCAGCAGACAAGTTGCCAAGGCGGTGGAAAGGGATTACAAGCTGTGGTTAATTTATTAGAAAGATGAATGAGGAGCAACAGTTTCAAACAGAATCGAGTTCGGATCTCCCCTCCCAGCGCTTCCGCGAGTTGCTGCTGTTGCATCTGTCGTTGCAATATTTGAGTTAATCAATCACGAGTTGTGGAATAGCTCATTATAAAAGACAGTGAGAATTTCCACACAAACCCGAACCCGTAACGTCTGGACTTGATCCGTTTTCACGAAAAAGTGGTTTACATCTCGACTTTGGCCTCAGAATTTCAATGCACAACTAACACCTTCCCTAACCCCGGTCTTTCTTACCTCCCTCAAAATCAGATCCATCGATCTCCAGCTCTCCTCCTACTCCCATTCGCACTCCATTTTCGGTGCTATCGGTTCTCTTTGCGAAATAAGAATTTTTCAATTTTTTTTTTTTTTTTTAACATCATACAAACACCGTATTCCACAC